GCGCTGCGCGACGACCGCCGCCCTTTAAAATCTAGGTTGAAATCAATTTGGTCCTGGCTATTATTTGATGGCCTAAGTACATGGGTTCTTTCATCTTTATAGACTCAGTGACGTCATCTTCGGTATGATTTATGGTTGAACCAGCAACAAATTCAACTCATGTTTAACATATGTGATTACGACCAAAAGACAAATACAGCTCCAACATAGTTTTGAAAGTGTAATACTTGCTTAGTTCATCAATAGACGTACCAACGTTGTTTTCAGCTATCTAACGTATGATGATCTATGATTAGAACAAATTTGTTCTGTTCCAATGTGTTCCCAAATGTCGTATTTTCGACACAGCTCTGTTTTCCAACTCCACATTTTGATAAAGTACAAAAACAAGGAATGTAATGTCATTCAACGACTATGTTCGTGGCAACTGAATTAGCAAGCTATTTGTCATAACGTCAATTGTGTTAAATCATATGTTGTACATATGATTTATTGTAAAACAAAATCTCTGTTTGGCAGCAAACATAGCAGTATTATTTCAATGAAATTATGAAAATTATTTACCGAGACGTTTAGAATTTACGTATAGGTACTAGCTCGTAATTCTTAACGCATGCGCACTATTGTATGTTTGATGTTAGGGGTTGACCTTTAGGAACTCGAGGGGCGATGGCAGAATTGGAACAAAAAAATAATTTGCACAGAAAAAAGTCCTGCAGAGATCAATAACAGAAATAAATCTACACGCGTCGCTACGTTTGGAATTGACGCGCGCGCCAATTAGAAACAGATCTAATTTTGTTATGCCTTTGACTGACAAAATGTAAATAAACAGACATTTGATATAATAACTTTCTCGTCGTATGTTTCCTTTTCAGCACTCAGCATTAACATTCACAATAATCGAATAATTTCCGATAATACAATCAAGGACCAGGATGACAACTAAGACGAATAGTAAAAATGGAGCGAATAATAATTATCAAAAGTCGTTTGTACAAAGATTACTTAATCCTCGTATATTCATGATACAGTTGTCTGTGTCACTGTTCCTGGTTGCATGTATGGCAATGGGTTATATGGCCGGAGTCTTGCCAACTATCCAGAAGCGATACCATTTAAGTGATGCGCAGACAGACTGGATTGGGGTTAGTTACGGAGTCGGCGTGGTTTTCGCCATACTTTGGATTAGCCATTTTGGAAGTTACGGACGCCGTCCAATCGTCATGGCATTTGGAATACTCGTCTGTGCCGTTGGGGGCGTCATTGCAGCATTGCCACATTTCGTGTTACCAAGATTACAAGAAAACGCGGCTTGGAACGTACTATCCAATAGGAGTACGGAAAAAGAATACTGTGGCCTCACTCATGACGTCAACAAGCCCGACGATTTCTGTGACGAAGGTCAGTTAGTTGACGCCGTAGCTCAAGATACGACCACCATCTTGGTATCCGTTGGTTTGCTACTGTGTGGTTTCGGTGTGAGTCCGTTACTGTCACTGGGTACTGTTTACATGGACGATGGAGTCGGTAGTCACGAAACTGCGATCTACTTAGGTGAGATAGAATAGAATAGAATAGAATAGAATAGAATAGAATAGAATAGAATAGAATAGAATAGAATAGAATAGAATAGAATAACATAGAATAGAATAACACAGAATAGAATAGAATAGAATAGACGTTTAATACCACCAAATTGTTGTAAATGTGGTTGATTGAATAGAAAATGGCATTTCCGGTTAATTTTTTTAACTTTATTTGATTGAATATGGATTCAAAATTAACACAACTTGCGAGAAGTCATACAATGTTTGTTCCAAGAGAAACAAACTTTTTCATCTCCTGATTCTACCCATAGAAACCAAGCTAAATTTAATGTTTTTTTTATTTTTTTGGTAACAATAGGTGTTGTTTCTGCATCTCTCATCCTTGGACCATGTATTGGCTTCGTAACTGGAGTTGCCATAGTGATGACCTATCATATTGAGTTTAACTACGTAGAAACCACCATGACGTCAACACATCCATATTGGTTAGGTGCCTGGTGGATGGGCTTCCTAATATTCTCGGGTATAATGGTCGTCTCTTCTGTGCCATTCTTTTTCTGTCCAAAGGAGTTTTCAAAATCGGGTGGTCGCAGAGGGCGCTACAAATGGGGGTTCAGTCCATTAAATGACAATATCAGTTGCCTGGGGAAGCTAAAAGGTAGTTATACATAAACTTACATATTTATGTTTTAGTGGAGTTTTTGAAGATGATTTTGTTGATTTGAACAACTTTTACCTTCATAGTACTTTTTTCACTGTAAGTAAATACTGGTGAGCCTGTCAATTTTCACCAAAATACAACATGGATAAGGGACAACATCAAAAGTTCAATGACTTTATGTAGGATAAAAAACCTTATTCCTTTAGTTTTTTTCCAACCCCCCTCCCCCACTTAATTGATAAATATTGATCATGGGGTCAGACTACAATCATAAATTGATAATAGGACAGTAATATGTCATAGCAGTTGGTTGTAATAATGAAGCGGAATATACATGTACGCATGCGCAAACTACTTTTCTGGGTTCTGCGAATGCTCTAGATCCATGCACTGAAACTGACCTCATTTGACGCACATATTTAGACTCTGGCCAAACCATTTTCTCATCTTGGATGTTTTGTTTTTTTTCATTTTCTGTTATTTTTGTTCATGATTGGATAGAAAAAAAAAAACGAATTACAAATACTCCAAGATTTTTTTGACTTCATTAAAAAATAAAATCGTTTTGTAGGATGGAAACTTTTTGAGGTCAACCCCACCCCCACCCCCAAACTAAAGCAAATAAGTTTTTAATCTGACATCGATCTTTTGATGTCTTCCTTAAGAACATGTAATTTTCAATATTGTTGTTTGACACTGCATATTGATGATAATACATTGAATTATGATTCACCATGAACTAAAAACATTGTTCTTGGAGCATGAAAAATGAAAAAGAAAATTGATACGCATGTGCAGAATTGTTAGCAATGCACATACATATAAATGTTTTTTTTCTTCGTTTTTCATCCCACAGATAGTGTATGAAATACTACAAAATCAACATGTTTAGTTAAAAATAAATCATACTGTAAAAGGATTAATTATTCACTGGGTTTTTATTTTGCTTATTTCGCTGACTGGAAAATGCGCTAAATTAAAACCCAGTGAATTTGGCATAGAACACGTTATCTAAATGATAAAACCATGAATTTAAAACCCACTGAATATGCCTGAAATGGTAAATCAGTGAAATTGAAACCCAGTGAAAATTAATCATTTTACAGTAGTTAAGGTCCTTATATGCAGTATATAACAAAGTATATATGTATGCATTCATATTGCATTTTTAACACTCAACTTGTGACACATACAGAATATTTCATTGTTTATGTTTCGTGTATAATGTAGATTTCGGTGAAAAGTTGAAGACTTTGATGTGCAACCCCCTTTTAATGGCGGTCTGTATCGGCGCTGGTGCTGAAATGGCTGTTAATATCGGCGTTATGATGCATTTACCGCATTACCTTGAAACGCAGATGCAAGCTTCTGAGCTATATGCTTCTACCTTATCTGGTAAGTTTTGGTTCTATCTGGTTTATACCGGTTTTCACTAGTTCATTCTGGTCTTATTTGGTATGTACTACTAATATCTGGTATACCCCATATTGGGTAAGTATTATATGGTGTTAAATATTAAATCGGATACAAAACTAGTTTTTGTAGTGTATTGTGTTGTGAAATGTTTGCCGAAGCTAATTTCCCGAGGGGACCAGATTCAAAGAGATACAAAGTACATGATAACAATAAGGTGACTTTATGGAACAAGTAAAAATCTTTACAGCACAATCGAGGGCACATTTTCGGGCCGCGCTTTGTTTACGAAGAGTATATAATTCACTGAAATAATTACGACACAGAACATTTTACCAATCATATTTGACAATTTTGACAACGCTATGGACGCATAGTTAGACAGCAATACAGACCCGGGTGTACGAACTAATTATGTTTTTTATACACATGGCTGTCTAGTGTATTGGCGAATATGTAAAGGAATCTAATATGGAAGCATTAACTTTTAAAGTTGTTGTACTACTATTATGTATCATTTGTTGCTGGAAAAACCCATTTAGATTCAGTAAAATCAGTAAAGTAAAAACCGCCATTTTCCCCAAAATAACACTAATCTGTCAATGGATTATCATTTTCGCCTTTTAGCTGTCTTGGAAGTGGTAGTGAAGAATGGTGCTGTATAGATCGTGTATTCATTTGTGCATTTTAACATTGTGCATAAATTGGACCTTGTGTTTTTTTGCAGTTGCTATTATGCTTCCTATGGCCTGTCTTGGTATCTTCACTGGTGGACTCCTCATTAAGAAACTACAATTGTCGGCAAAAAAATGTGCTCGTGTAATCATGTACGCTGATCTGACGACCATATTGATCTATTTATTTATCTTCCTATTCGGTTGCAGTACACAGATATACCCAGATGTCTTTCACTCAACACCAAACAGGTATTCAGAAAACATTTTCTCATTTTTTGCCAGTTTACCGAAATTCGATTAATTCAACATTTTTAGTCTTTATTATTCTTTGTCATAGTCATGAACATCAGCAAATATATATTATTTGAACATCATAGTCAACTGATGTAACCCTGCTCAAATTAAACCTACAATATTTGTTCCATAATTTTCAGCCTACAGAAAATTATGTCCATTCGATCCAAAACAAACAAAGAAGTTATGGAAAATTAAATAAAAATTGACATCAGAACTTTGAGTAAGGCTTGTACATTCTCCATGTCTGCAGTACAAACACTAATTTACCTATAAAGCATCAAACGATCAATTATATTACGATGGTTTTGTGTGTTTTTATAGCTCCAGTACTGTTCTAGACAATAACACGAATATTACGACTGTGAATCTAACAATGCCTTGCAATGTACAATGTAACTGTGATATGGCGACGTTTTATCCGGTTTGTGGTTCAGATGATGTCACATATTACTCGCCGTGTCATGCTGGGTGTTTGGTGAAAGAATTTGACATCGCCAATGGCGCAAATGGACAACCTGTCAAGGTGAGTTATGTGACACCGCAAACTACCATACTTACAACACCAGAGTAACTGCTTTCAGGTTCTGTAGAATACTTTATTTTAGCTGGAATTAATTTTTGCTGAAAACAATTTTTAAGTGTTTTGTATGGAATTTATTTTCACTGATTTTTGACAAGTTGAATGTAAAACATAGGAAAAAATTTATATTCGCTGGATTTTATTTTCACTGAATCAGTGAAAATATCGAAAAAATTAATTCCAAGCAAAAATCAAAGAAAGCTTAGAAAGAACTCCCATGTGCTGAGAGTATTGTAACACATTAAATATAATTCGGAATTACTTAGCTGAAAACTAATTATGCAAATCAGAAAATTAATATGAACAGATTTTAGTGTAAAACTAATGAGGTCTGCGCAATGTAACAGAAAATCTATGTACCAAGTTTAATTGAAATGTGATTAAAACCAAAAAATTATGAATTATTAAGCTAATTAGGAAATTAATATAAACAGATTTTTACCCCAAACTAATTAGGTTTGTACATTGTCCTAGAGCATCTTTGTACTAAGTTTCATTGAAATGGAAGAATTAGTACTTTAGATATCAGGGTGAAAGCATAAAATTGGATAATTATGCAAATTAGGTAATTAATATGTACAGATTTTAACCCACAATTATCGAGGTCTGTCTATTGTCCTACAGCATTCATGTGCAAACATTCATTGATATGTGATGATTAGTACCTGAAATATCAGTGTGAAAGTTGGAAATTGGTTAATTATGCAAATTAGGTGATTAATATGCACAAATATTTATCTAAAACAATCAATCTCTGCATAGTCCTTGAGTATGTAAGTACCACGTTTCATTGAAATGTAATGCTCACTACTTATATCAAAAGCTGAAAATTAATTAATTATGCAAATTAGGTAATTATATGTACTGATATTACCATAAAAACTATCAGGTCTGTGCAGTGTCATATGACATCTATGTACCAAGTTTCATTGAAATGTGATGTACTTGAGATATCAGTGGAAAAACCGAAAATTGACTAATCATTATGCAAATTAGGTAATTAGTATCCACGG